TTATAAACTCCTCAGCACTAATAATCAAACTACTCATTTTTGTCGTTATAAACTCTTCAGCACTAATAATCAAATTACTCATTTTTGTCGTTATAAACTCCTCAGCACTAATAATCAAACTACTCATTTTTGTCGTTATAAACTCCTCAGTACAGGAAAAAACAAATAAGTAGAAAATCAAAATTTTTACTTTTGAAAATGAATTGGTTTATTTAAAAAACGTTTATTAATACAAAACTCTTATAGTACATATGTGCAAACAAATAACATACTTTGTACATATCGATGGTCCTGTGCAATAACGACACAATTCAAAATTCAAAAAACAAAACCCTTACTACTATTAAGTGGCTCATATATCTATCTAATCCATGTCGAATCCATGTCTAATATTTAGTACTTACTTTAGCAATCCTTACTGCTTACTTTATAAAAGGTTGGAAATGGATTAGACGAGGATTACAGACAAGAGCGACTTAATAGTAGTAACAGTTTTTATTTTTTGAATTTTGAATTGTGTAGTTATTGCAGAGGACGATTGATGTGGATGTATATAACATTGCTGGTGCAGGCGTTGAAGGTGATGTTGGTGGTGGCCTTAAAGTAATAGTGGCGATGTTGAAGGTGATTTTGCTGGTAGAATGATGATGGTGGCGATACTTCTGGGTCCGGTGTTTAAGGTGATGGTACGATGTTGGTGGTGGCATTAAAGGTGATGGAGGAGGTGCGTGCGATATCAGCTGGTGACGGCATTAAAGATGATGGTGGGTTTTAATTTTAATTGTTGGAAATCTGTTATAACGAGAAAATCAATTAAAATGCACAAGGTAAGTAATTTGCATATGTATGTTCATACCTTAAAAATAATGATGCAAAGTCGACGGCAACGGCAACGGGAACATAAAATGAAATTTGAAATATCTATAAAATTATAAAATTTTTTTTTATCAAATGTGACATTTTTCGACAAAGCCTACTGTCATAAAAACTGCCATATTTCTTACTCGCTTTAACGCACAGAATTCCTATAAAAGTAGGAATTCCGCTCTAACAAATGAAAAATGTTTCACATTTCGAATACCAAATTTGTAAATGTGTGCGTGTGATAGCTAAAAAGTTGCGAAAGAGTGTGTAACGCTGTCGAATTTGAGGGGAAACTGCTCAGCCATGGCTTGCAGGGTGCATTCAAACATACATATATACATATGAGGTACTCGTACCCGCCATGCGTCGCTTTATTTCTTTTTTCCCCTTCCCTATACTACCTATATCTTCCTTCTCACTCATGTAACGTTTTCAGTTTAAAAAATTTCACTCTTCATTTTTGCGATACCACCGCCTAAGAAGTTTCACTTCAAAAACTTACGAAACAAGTAACTTTTAGCAAAAAAAAAACCGACTTCAACTCTCATATAAAAAAAAATATATATATATATCTCATGATCCGCTGATCGGATCTTAACCAGATTAGTATGGGACCACCTCTGAGACACTACCTTTCCGACGCAAAAAGAATTTTCGAAATCGAAATGCGTGTGTAACACCGTACACATGATAGAAGTGAAACTTCTTAAAGAAGGTGGGAGTACCAGGTACCTACTCACGAAATTGGATTTGTAAACATATGTTTACGGTTCGGCAAACCATTGGGCGATTGAGTTACATACATAGGTTTGGTTAGAAATCAAGCAATAATTTCATTTCATCTTATTAATTTTCTGATATACACACAATTTATTTATTCATTTTCCGGTAACACCACCTTATATGAATTCACGCTGCTAGCATCACTAGGACCGGGTTGTAATGGAAGTAATTGTATGTTTAACAAATAAATGAAAATGTTTATAATGCCATTACCAAGGCACTAAGTAACGTACGCACTTTTGTTTGCAAAATTCATTTATTTAAGTTGAAAGAAGACAAATTCCTTTGTTCGGCATTTAGTCTTACTCGCTTTCTATCTTCCAAGGCGAATTCATATATTCTTATCACGAATTCATATATTCATGTGGTAGCAAGAGAGAAACATACAATTACCTTATAAATTAAAAGCATAAGTATCACATGTATGCGTAGTCCAATCACGGTTGCCAACCGTCCCTTTTCGGCGGGACTGCCCCGGATTTAAGAGCTATGTCCCGGTCCCGGTACAATACCTGCCGGGACACAAAATGTCCCGGTTTTTGGCAGGAAAAAAATTTAGACATCTCGTTGTTAAAAATTTAGATCTCTTTAAATATTTAACTATTTACATTTTACATATTCTATTTAATAATCGCCACTATACGTCGTAAAGTAAAAGTACAGACTATGAAGTGCAAAGTACGTCCGATATTTTTTTTGTTGAGAAGAAACTACCTGCGAAAAAATTCCCAAAGTCAATACGATTTTTTACTAACTTCAAACTGGCACATTGTTATAGTAAAATGCCAACGTGTAGGCAAATTCATGGAATTTTACTGAGTTTTGCATGAAGTTAAGAGATTTTTTTATGTTTTTTGTTGTAGTATAAGCAATATTTTTATAAAAAATTCGCCGAAAATTTTAAGTAAAAAATGTTGCATACATTGTGAGAAATTCCTGGTGACAATAATTTAGTGCGGCACTATACATACATACATTTTTAGTTAACTTTTATTGAAGTTTTTAAGTAATTTAGAAATATTATCATTGAAGCTTCGTTTTATGAAATTTTTTATATGTATATCAAATTTTACTTTCTTTTTGTTATTTATGGCCTCATAGCAATTATATTCAACTATTTGATTGAGCTTGAGGCCATTATTATTAATAAAATTTTTTGTGGAAAAACAACAGTAATTTACATTTTGATAGAAGTTATAGCTGCTATTTCGGGCAGCTATTCTGCTGCTATTTACACTTGACCATGATGTTGTTGGTGATTTTTTGTTATATTTAGGGCTAGGTTTGGGCAAATGAGCGTAAGTGCGAAATTTATGGCCAAGAGAGGGCCCCATTTCGATGGTCCTCTGCAATAACTTCTGGTTTTCACAAACTCGTCCAGAAAAATAGTGAGGCCGAATTCGGGCTAGTGAGAAGCAAATATTACTAGCTCAAAATGGCTTTCAACAGCCCGAGAATCAACCAAAGAGACAAAAATTGACCACTTTCGGGCACCTGCGGGCGAGCAAAAGAACAGACTTGTTGTGCGTCCCGGTTACAAGAATCCAAAAGTTGGCAACCTTGAGTCCAATTCACGAAATCATTTCATCGAACTGAGTAAAAACTAAGTGCATAAACTCTATTTCGCGTTAATTGTAATCATGAAATGGTGTTCATTCATTCAGTTTCTACTCAAACGCATGAAATGATTTCATGAATTGGCCTACGCATAATGGTAGTAAATGACAGAATCACCCTTTTGACATAATGCAAGCCGAAAACGTTGGTTCAAATCAATCCGCAATCAAGTTGGACGTTTTTCCCACAAACATTGCAATTTTGCGAGCAGTCTCATTGTAAAATCTAATTTTTACGAAATTTTCAACTGCTCCTGTAACACTACCTTATATAAGTTGGCCTTGCTATCATCCTCACATATGTTCATCAGGGTATACCAACGAAGGACGAGTTAATACAAGGGATAGCGAGAGCACAAAACTACTCTAGAAAATTACACGCACAATGACAAACATGAACAAATGTACAACAAACACATAATTTTTGACAATCAGTACCGTTCGCATTTATATCACCGAGCAGCTTATTAGATTTGTTTTCGTTTGTACTACATATGTGCATATATACATGTACACAAACATATGTACATACATACAACTATATATACAACCATTCAAACATATGCACATACATGAAAACATTTCTGTCCATAAGTTCATACATATGCCCTTCAGTTCATCAACGAAGCCCGTTTGCTTCATCATTACGGTGACCATCCGTCCTTTATTTTAAAGGACAGTCCTTTATTTTAACCCCCTGTCTTTTAAAATTTTTTTCAAAATAAAGGACGCCTTTTTCCTCTATTTCTTAAACTGTCCTTTAAACCAGCTCTGCATGTTTCAGAGGTAAATTTTTAAACACAGAATATGAAAAATAAAAATGTCCCTTAGAAAATATAATGAAAACCTTCGCCAGTTTGTTTCGTACCCCACTTAAGGGTTTCTATTTAATCGGTAATATTTGTACAATCTACAAAGCACAGGGAAATTTGTACCCAGGATCGTTTTGCATGCTGAATTTCCAGTTCCACTGAAAGAGAACAATAAACCCTCTGCTGCACAGTGGTTCAAAACTGGCATTTAAAGTTCGTAATTCACTGGAGCCTAAATTTTTCACTTAATCTGATTTTTTTTTTGTGAAAGCTTACAATATTTGCAAGATACCAGTTGAGCCTGATTTGTGAATTTTTATTCGATTATATTAAATTTTTTAGTGGAAAATGCGGAAAATGTAGGAATTTTGAGTAAAATTTATTCACCGGTTCTAGTTGACAAATGTTGCATAACAAAACCTATTTGAAAACTATTGTATGGTTCTCCCAAAACGAAAAAATTACACAAAAAAATGTTTGAAATGTTCACCAAAATAAATATTTTTTTTGGTTGTTAGTAAACATTGGTTGAAAAATTAAGGCTCAGATGAATTATGAACATTTAATTCCAATTTTGAACCACTGTGTGTTGACTTCGGCGTGTATTATGAATTATGGGGTAAACACGTTTTGGCAGCGAAGGATGGCGAAGTGATGAAAAGGATTTGGCTTCATTTTTCGGAATCGGTTAATTAACTGGTAAATATTTGATTTAAATTACGATGTGGGTAAGGTACTTTTATCATACAAGTTGTATGTACGTATTTCCAAATCATTTTGAAAAAAATTTCCTTTATTTTACGTTGGTTAATATGGTCACCGTATTCATCATAGATATATCCATACAAACATATGTACATATGTACAAATGGATGTAGTTACGCTAAGCATGCTTGCATTATTTATACATATATTGCTTGGTAGCGGCAGAACTGAAATGCGCAATGAGTTCGTTCATACATACATATATATGTATACATATATATATGTATACATACATACGTGCATTCAAACATACATATATACATATGTAGGTACTCGTACCCGTCATGCGTCGCTTTATTTCTTTTTTCCCCTTCCCTATACTACCTATATCTTCCTTCTCACTCATGTAACGTTTTCAGGGTTAAAAATTTCACTCCCCATTTTTGCGATACCGCCGCCTAAGAAGTTTCACTTCAAAAATAAGTATCTCGCAAAAATCCATCTAAAAATGTATCCATTTGGATCTATTTAGATCCAAACGGCATCCCTGGTTACAGAGCCAATAAAGAAGGAGACGTCGTATTTTATACCAGTTCGGGTATAAAGGTGAACAATTAGTCTCTTCATAGGGTATGCTCGAACAAAAGCGTACAGTTCATTCCATATAAAGAAATCAAAAGTGGTATTAGTCGCATGTTCCTTTGCGATTGCTCCCGGAGTCATCCCGGATTAGTTGCATTTTTTGCAGGATAGCTTGACCGAAACTCCAACACAAACGCAAATTTTATGGTGTTACTAACACATATGTAATAATCGTTGATTGGACCTTCATTTATTATTTTTTGGTCATTCATGTAAATCAGTGATTCCCAAAGTGCTCCAGGTGGACCCCCAGGGGTCCACGGAAGACTCGACGGGAGTCCACGGTGCCGTGAAAAAAATTTGGTGAACTTTAACTTTTTTGAGTGGTGTATAGTGCTCTTTACGCACTGCTGCACTTACCGTCACTTTGTGTTTTCATTCGTGGGGAAGCCCTAAAGGCCACCTGCAGACTAAAAAGAACCGGATGCTGGTAGGACAATGAGAGGAGCGCGGCGAAAATTGCTGGAGGCAAAGATTTAAGCACTTGTGTGTTTTCAATGCCACCATTACCTTTGTTGAAGAGAGTCTATTATGTTGAGTTGCCTGGGACTGAATGTTGGTTTAATTCCAGCACTGAGCCCGCACACGTACATTGTCGAATCTTCACTGATGGCTCCAAAAGTGTCTCTGGATCATTATCTGGGGTCTTTTCCGAAGTTAATGGGGGACTTTTCTGTTAGGGAATATGCTTCGGTCTTCCATGCTGAGGTAATTGCAATACTCAAAGCCATGGACTACATGGTCGAACATAGGTGGAGGGGAAGGGATTTACGTGACTGCAGTGAAAACCAAGCTGCACTTAAGGCATTGTCCAGCCGTCTATTTAAGTACTTTCAAACTAGTTCGGCAATGCAAGTCTGGACTAAAATATGATGGTGAACATAACGAGGCCGTTTGGCCAGAGTTGGCTCAGACCAGGCATTCCTCGGTCCGCAACCAGTTTTAGCACACAGAAACTGGGTGAATACTTCGCTCAGAACTGTCTGAGGCATCGAGAGGATGCAGGTGGGCAAAACTCATGTCGCCTTCAATCTCACAAGGTCTATCTAATTTTTTTCTCTCACTGAGCGGACGACACTGCAGACAACTTGCTGGACTGCTGATTGGTCACTTCACGTGGCACAAACACCTGACTGTGATAGGCGCAAATCACAAGTCCATTTTCCCATCTTGCCTGGAAGAAGATTAGACGGTGGAACACTTTTTGTGCTTCTTGCTTGTTTGGTTATTTATCATCGATTTTTTTAAACTCGTTCTTTTCTCTATTGTCAGTTGTTGAATTAAAAGTTTGGCGTAAAAAGCTTAGCCGTTTTGATGTTATAAGTTTTGTGTTTTAAAAATGTGATTCAAAATTTTCGCCTAACTTTAAAACTCGGACTGATAAAAATAAAAATGATGCCATTAACACAAATAAACTATTTTACATATACTCCACGTGCAAAGTCATGAGTGAGCCGAACATTTGATGAGTTTATGGTGAAGATAATGTAAATAACGCTAGCGCTCGCAGTGCGCTCTTCCGAGAGAGAGAGTATTTTGATGTATTTAGGTTAGGTTAGGTTAAACGGGCAGCTCTAAAAAACAAAAATACAAAAAAGAGTTCACTCGCAGGCCGCAGAGGCCCATTGTGATGCCCATGGGGGTTACCCCAAGCCTATCCCTACATGTCTTCGAACCATTTTGATTTTCTGGCGAATCCTAGCAGATTCTCNCTAGCAGTCCTTCCAGAGGAGCTTTCCCCAAGATATCCAGATTCTCGAAGAAGTGGTCCCCAAGAAACTTGAGGCGTTTTCCTCGAAGTGCTGGACACTCGCAAAGGAAGTGCTGGACGGATTCTAACTCCTCCTCATCCCTGCAGCTTCTTCATCAATATGCGGGGCTCCTAACCTGGCGGCCATGTGGCCAATGGTCCAGTGTCCCGTTTGTATTCCTGTGAGAAGCCTGACGTTTGGCTTTGAAAGCCTTAATAGACTCCTTGTTCTTCGTCCATCGAGCCGTGGCCAGAGCGATCGCGATACGCTGCAGGTGTGAAGGTTTACCCACCTACTGTTGGTAGCTGCCCTGGTCAGTCTCTCGACTTCTGAAGACAGAAATCGCAGGGGGGGTTTCACGATTTGGGTCGCTNTCGTTCATCGAGCCGTGGCCAGAGTGATCGCGATACCCTGCAGGTGTGAAGGTTTACCCACCTACTGTTGGTAGCTGCCCTGGTCAGTCTCTCGACTTCTGAAGACAGAAATCGCAGGGGGGGTTTCACGATTTGGGTCGCTTCGCCGAGCCCCATCTCAGATCCCTTCCTAGCACATTCGTCTGCTTCCTCATTTCCCGGGACACCACAATGTCCCGGTACCCAGTAAAGATTGATTATGTGTTGCTGTAGAACTTTTAGGGATCTTCGGCATTCTTTAACGCATAACGAGTTAGTCGTTGCCGACCCTAAGGCTTTGATAGCCGCCTGACTGTCAACAACGAAGGCAAGTTTAGATGGAGCTAAGTCAATCATGCCCACCAACCTTGCCGCCATATGGATTGCATATATCTTAGCCTGAAAAACACTGAAGTAGTCTGGGAGTCTATACGACTCTCTCAGAGATAACTCCTGAGAGAAGACCCCAGATCCTGTTCCGATGTCCATTTTGGAGCCGTCCGTGAAGATGGGTATTTCGTCATCGCTGAGAGCAATATTAAATTCCCAGTCACTTCTGTCAGGAAATGCATATTGAAGTTTCAATTGAAGTCAATTTCCGTGACCTGATGGTCACAGCGGCTGTATTCCCTTTTCAAGTTGTTCGCAGCCTGTTAGACTCTCTGAGTCGTAGAGCGCTTTTAGCTGCGATACTTTTAACATATAAGTCTATAGGTGGAATATCCAGCATGGTCTCTAGGGCCTGGGGCGTTGAATAAATCGCCCCCGTTATGCATAAGCATGCTTGTCGTTGCACCTTTTGCAAGTTGAGTAGATGGGATTTGGTGTCAACCGCCTGTCACCATTCCAGCGCGCCATAGGTGAGGAAAGGTCTTACTACCGCCGTATAAATCCAATGTATTATCTGCGGTCGCAGACCCCAGTCTTTTCCAATAGTAGCTTTGCAGGAGTAGAGCGCGTTGAGCGCCTTCTTTCTCCGCTCTTCGGTGTTCCTTTCCCAGGAAAGCTTAGAGTCGAGAATAACCCCGAAAAACTTTGCTTCTTTTGGAGGTCGGAAATTGTCTATTTTATATCGCTTGATGAAGAGAACAAGTTCGGTTTTAGTGGGATTGACCCCGAGGCCGTTTCTTTCTGCCCACCCTGACAGATCGCTAATTGCAGATTGTAGAATCTCGCTGACCGTGGAGAGGAATTTTCCCACGACCAGAATGACTAAGTAATCCGCATAAGCAGCGACCTTAGCGGCTTTCGATGTGCGAAGCAGGAATTCATTTAGCACGAGGTTCCACAATAGGAGGGATAGCACCCCTCTTGAAGTGTGCCCCGTGTGGTTGTTTTCCTTACTTATGATGTTCCCAAGGAGCCGTTGATATTTCTGGTGCTCAACATATTGTCGACCAGAGAGTGATCAATGGGTCCAGTCCTACAGCCACCTTGGAGCAGTGTATGGATGCCAAATTACGTCCAGGAAGGCTGCCAGCGCATATTCCTTGTAATTCAGTGCTTGCTCTATACTCCCAACAACCTCGTTCAGGGCTGTTTCAACCGACCTACCTTTACGGTAGGCATGCTGAGCCTCGCTGAAGTTCCCAGGAGTAAGGCGTTGCGTGATCTGCAGACTCAGAAGCCTCTCCATTATTTTGAGAAGAAATGATGAGAGGCTGATGGGCCTAAAATCTTTTGCAGTGCTATGGCCCGCTTTTCCTGGTTTGGGAATGAAGACCACT